TTCATCGATATGGATGCATATAAATTATCCATAGACAGTCACGCGATGATTTCACGTCGCTTACCACTTTAGTATAAGTGTGTCTTAATATAAAATTAAGATGAAGTTAAAAAGTGATATTCATGATTGTGAAATTGTCCTCGCTACTTTATATTATCTACAGATAATAAAATTGCTCGTTAGGTTTGATAAATATATTGGGAATTTTAATATAAATATTTTACTGATAATAAGGTAGTAAAATTTTGTTTACATCAACTGTATTGTGGAAATTTTTCTCGCGTGTGACGTTTTGATAACTTTAGTCGTATGAAGATAAATATCGGATTGAGATGGATAAACATGCCAAAGTTCCAGTAATAGGAGGAAAACCAGTTTGGTGAATCTGAATACGCGCGTGTGCATTTGTAAACCAACTACGTGCTTTTTGCAAGTGTAATTGATATTTTTATTCACTTATCAACTGATATGAAAACAGGGAACGAGTAGTAAATGACTCACGTATGACAAACGTAAATTACACCTAAAAAGTCACTGCAACAGCTGATTATGATATTAATTTAAAAGTCCTTAATGTCTTTATGCTCCTTTCTGAATTTTTATACATACATTTGGCACATCGTTTCATTTTGCGATTTTGACGATCTTATTACGCTTCTTTATTTTTCGTGGTTGCCCTCAACAAAAAAATTCCTTTTTTTCTAATTAGTCGTTATTCCATGTTCTCAGTGTGAGCATATAGTTTTCATTTTATTTAATTATTAATTGCCTTATCGTAGAAATTTGGTTACTGCCCAATGATACCATTCCGACCGGTAATCGAGCCTAAACACCCAGGTGCCTTTCTAATAGAGGATCCCCTAATTTCTGTACGAGAAGGCCGCCTCCTCGACATACCCTGGATGACAGGAATCAATTCGGAAGAAGGAGCTATAAAAGTAGCAGGTAAGGGCAATATGCTCGAAAAAACAAAAATATTTTTAACAAAATTCTTTAGAATCTTAAAATAAGATGATTTTTGTAATATGGAAATTCCAAAAGTCCTTTTATAAAGTTATAGTTACAAAATTCTTTCGAAAATCTATGATCCCTAAATAAAAGATAAATCCAGTTTTTTATTATCGAATAATTTTAATTTGTTATATACTGATCGCGTCTTTTCAATACATTATCAAATTTTGTATTGTTATTCCTAAGATTTAATAATTTTCTGAAATATAATAAATTATAATAAATGAATTATATAATAAATAAAGATATATAATAAATTAAGATATCAATGAAAAGAATATTTACGTGTGCTTCTCAGGTATTTATGGGCGGGAACAAAACGTGAAAGAATTGGAGACTAACTTTGACAAAATTGTGCCTATGAGTTTATTATACGACGAGAGATACAACGTCACGAATGAGGATTTACGAAATGAGATAACTGCCACCATTCGCAATTTCTATTTCGGCTACAATGCTATCGATTACACCGAATATTCCAGATTCAAAGTCGTCGATGTAAGTTCAAATAACTATACGATACAATCAGCAATTTTTATATTTAAAGTATTAAAGAATATATGACTTAATATTTGATTCGAATAAAATCGACGTATCATGTATCTTAAATAATTAAGTCATAATTTGAATTATTTTAGTAAAAATTTTGTAACTAAAGTGAAATACTTGTATTGTCACAAAATGCTAAAGAAACAAATAGTATTTCTAATAGCGTTTATATCTATGTAGGTTAAAACAATTTTTTGTTAATAATTAATCTACTAATTAGTAATCTAATAATGCATTAATATGATTTTCTAGATGTATAGCGACTCATGGTTTAATCATGGTACTCACGAAGCTGTGCAAGATTTTATTGTGAATCAAACTTCACCAGTCTTTTATTATTACTTTGCTTATAAAGGAAGCGTATCATTCAGCACGATATTTGGCGATCCAGTAAGAGATTACGGAGTATCGCACGCGGATGATTTACAGTATTTGTTCCCTGTAGGTGAACAATTATTCCCGAACACGGCGTTGTCTGAGGAAGATCACAAAATGATCGATATTATGACTTGTATTTGGTACAATTTTGCAAATTCCGGGTAAGTGTTAATATCTAATTGATAACAAATGCAAGCAAAAATACAAATGTATAAATTAAATCTATAAAGGATATTGAAAATTTGTATTATATTAAAATTTAATTAATATATAAAATTTAAGTAATATATTAAAATAATTGGTGCAAAGTTAGATGAACTATTTAATTATTGGCTCAACTATTTAATCCAATGTTTCTCATTAAAGTTTTTAATCTTATATTTTTTTTTTAAATTAGACTTTTATTTTCATAATTATGGATCTCTTTTCTAATAAGAAATTAATAAAAAATTTTCCCTATAATATATCTAGATAAATATGTTTTTTTTTTAGTAATCCCACACCAAAAATTACTAAAATGGTTCCATTGAAGTGGAAGCCCGTAAAAACAAATTCCGCACCGGAATACTTGCGCATAGAAAACTCGAAGAAAATTACAATGGACCACAGTCTTCTCTGGCAGAGAATGATATTTTGGGATTCTTTAACACGTAGATTAATGAATCATGGAAATACATTTAGACATTTGAAGGATGAGTTGTAATTTGGACTCTGCACGGCTACATATAAGTCGAAGGCAAAGATATCATTGTATAGTAGAAGGGAATCTTATAATACAATGTTAAAATTTTAAGAAATCATTTTTTTCATTCATTTCATAAAATTAATTTTATTTATGCCAAAAAATATTTAGATTAATTGCCAAACTGTCATTTTAATAACATAAAATTTATAAAATGCACAATGTGTTTTTATGTTTTTAGCTGTACTTTTTTAATATTAACAAGATTATTTTTTTTTAATTTAAAATATAATCACGTTTATTAAGATTAACAATTTTATTAATAAATAATAATCATTTTGTTGTTTTACGTAATATAATAATAAATTTTGTATATAAACATAGCTAAGAGTATATTTTTATTTCGCAGTAAAAGTGCGTAATTCAATAATAAAGATTACAGTAATGTGATCGTTAATATTAGAGAGTTTTTGCAACACCGTTTATTCAGATATAGTGAATGCTAAGGTCACGCTACCTTGTTCTTAACAACTAATTAAGAAAAGAATGACTTTAGTGTTCACCATATCTGAATCCACGTTATTGCAAAAACATTACATCTTCCTATTACACAAGCTATGAAGCAACGTTAAGTTCAGAATTTTATTAAGATTTCTCTTTATCTTTTCACATTACAATCTCTCTTTATCTTTACACATTAAAATTCTCATAACATCGTGTAGCAATTTCTCCAATCGATTATTTATTTTAATATTATCATTAATTTGATGTATAAAACTTTTTACCTAAAGTAATTGCTCTATTGCGTGGTATTTTTCTACTTCAGCGTGTTTTTTCAACATGATAAAAAAAATTACGAATATTAATATAAATTCGAGACTAGAAGTAGTAATAAAGAGGATTGTATACATCTCATTTTTATAAACGCGTGATATATATAATTCGCGTGTTATGAAGATAAGTTTGATTAGAAACTCTTAACATTTCTATTAACTGAATTAATTTTTTATGTACATTTCGTAACACATCTTATGTATATAATCTTATGTAAATATAAATATAAA